CAATGCTTCAGGCATCTGGAGTACGGAAACTTGAGAAACATCAACGTACGAATGTAGATCATTTAGGGTTTATTTTCAATATTACGATAAATTGATGAAAATGTTCAAGTGATTTGCTTTTCGTTATAATGCTCGATATATCGTCTAATATGACCTGATGTTTACTAATACATAGCTTGATTTTAAAAGATGCTGCGGCGCATGCGCGTTACAGCGAACTGTGGACGTCCGAACATTTTTAGGTTTTAAACATCGCACGTTGCAAAACTCCGATAAAACGATGCTAATTCACAATTAATATTAATCCGGCAGTCTGCTTTATGATCGAAAATGCCCATTTTATTTAATCTGCGTAATACACACAAACACATATTGAAAACACAGATTGATTTCTTCTATTTATAAAAATTGATATCTTCTTGAATTTCTTTCGATCAAATATAATTCTCCCTTCACATTACGTGTATTTGTGTATATTTGTGCATGTGTGCGTTCGATTCTATTTCTGATCTGCTCCACGTCGAGATGCGTAAAAGCACATACGGACCTCAGGGTAAATCATGTCTATACGCAGCGCACAGAAACGTCCCGCCGGACGCGCGGTGCATCAAAATCGCATTTGTTTTAACGAGAGGATCCGTCTCGGTGAATTATGTCGGTCGCGCGGTAAGCAAAGCAAGCAATTCGTGCCTGTAAACAAATGCAGAATGTTCTGTCGCACGCCAAAACGGCAGTGCCGCAGTCACGCGCGTTGCCGGAAGATCGAAACAACTGCCATCGCTCGCCGCGCGCCTCGTCCAACAAGATGGAAAAAAAAATCGAGAACGATCATCGAGATTGTGAATGGACTAATTTAAACAAAGTAAACAACAAATTAATAATGTTTTTCACCATGTTGAAAATAGCCGTTGATTTGATTTTTTTCTAAAAGAAAACCTACCGCATAATTTTTCGTCATACATAATCCATGTAAATCCATCTAAGGTATCAATTACAATCTAAAAATCTGATATATTTACTTTCGTAAATTTATGTAATATACTTCTCTTCTCAAATTACACGCTCATTGTTATTCATTTTTGAAAGGCTCTGAGCAAAACTGAAATTGAAACATCATCGAATTAACACTCAATTTAATACTGATGCTAGTAAGCTTCTTGCACACGTACAAGGAAGCTGTAAAAAAATTTATCTTTTCTCTCTCTCTCTCTCTCTCTCTCTCTCTCTCTCTCTTCCTTTCTCGCGTCCGCGCTTCTCTCCTACGTTAAATACGAATCTAACTGTCTCTCTCTCTCTCTCTCTCTCTTTCCCTCGCGCGTGCGCACCTTCCTACTTTCCGCTCGCTTTCCCCGCGCCTGTCGATCACTCGATGCCACCTTCTTTCTCCTTTCCACGAGCTCTTACGCCGATATGCGTTTCTACTATACTTGAAGTGCATGACTGTC